TCAATGAGTAACTAGGTAGATAGATTGGTAGAGTCGCTGGTTCTTCTGCATACTCTGTCATTATGGCTTAAAACTAGTGTAAAAAGGAAAATTAAAAATTCACAAGTTAACAAAAACTTGGGATGGAGGAGGCTGGCTGGAAGCAAATAGCGAGGATTGCCGCTGATTAAGAATCGACTTGGGATGAATCCTGGGCCTGTTTGGACAGGTTATAAGTAGCTTATAAGCTGCTTTTGAATACTAATTTACGGAATACGAGACAAATATGTGAGAGGAGTTTTGTTTCGGTTTCTGTGAAACGTTTTGAGGATATTTTCACTCCAAACGGGGCCCCTATTTTTTATTTTTGTTCACTATGAAAGTTGGCAAAAAAATTCGTGGATGAATATGTTAGCGTCTTCTTTCTGCTCCTCCTGTCAAACCTGAAGTGGGTGTGTTATAGAATCCTTGATTTTGGTGTTTTTATCGTATCTCATACCTATGCAGTTAGAAGACTGACTATATTCAAGCTCAGTTGGCCTCAAATGAAAAATATATGAAAGTTCACTCATGCCAAGTACATTTTTTAACTCACTTTCATCTCTGTTCCATTTTCATTTCCCTCAAAAACACTTTAAGAATACCAAACGCGGCCTCAGTGTCTTGTGTATCCTTTCCCATCTTTCCAATGGATTCATGGTTGTTTGCCTAATAAGGAAAAAAGGGGTACTCATCTCATCTTGCTCTTTCCTTTCTGACAGACTTCCCTAAATTATGGGGCGCAAACTTTTGTGGGTGGCTTTCTGTTTATGGGCTTTAACATGCTCTCTTCTTCCTTCTTTCTCTTCTGGACTTCTGAGAATTGGTTTGAAGAAGAGGCGTTTAGATCTCCAGAGCATCAAAGCTGCCAGAATTACAAGAGAACAGCTAAAACCAGGCAGACCAGTGAAGGGTGCACATAGGTATATTGGTAGTTCGGACGAGGATATAGTACCCCTGAAGGATTATTTAAATGCGCAATATTTGGAGAGATTGGAATTGGTACGCCCCCACAAACCTTCACTGTCATATTTGATACGGGTAGTTCCAACCTGTGGGTTCCGTCATCAAAGTGCTATTTTTCTGTAAGTTCAGCTTAACCTCATGATCTCCAACACTACTATGTAAGAGTCGTTTCTTGACTAATATTTTCCTGCAGATTGCATGCTATTTCCATTCTCGGTACAAATCAAAGAAATCAAGTACATATAGCAAGAATGGTAAAGCCGACAGATTCATGGCCGTTTCTTATTATTCATGTTTATCATAGTGATAGCTTCAATCAGGCAAGCAGTAACTTCGTATGTTATATGCCTTCTAATTGAAGTTCCGATTTTGCCTATCATTTTGTCAATCAGGAACTTCATGTCAAATAACCTATGGATCTGGATCCATATCTGGCTTCTTCAGTCAAGATAACGTTAAAGTTGGTGATGTTGTTGTCAAGCATCAAGTGAGTACTTCTCAATTTGAGCTTCTATTTCAACATGAACTACAGTTTGTCCCCAGTCTGCGGCAATGCTTAATTTATTACCACAATAATCTCTTATGCAGGATTTCATTGAGACAACCCGAGAAGGAAGTCTTACGTTTGTGTTAGCTAAGTTTGATGGAATACTTGGACTTGGGTTTCAGGAAATCTCTGTTGAAAAAGCTGTTCCAGTATGGTATTGTTTGGCCTATCCCTTTTTGTTTTTATTTGCATTTGATTTCCTTGTTCAAGTATGGTTTTCCCCTCCTTTCACCTCTTGTTTGCAGTGCACTTATTTACTGATCTGTTACAAAATTGCAGGTATAATATGGTGGATCAAGATCTTGTAAGTGATGAGGTATTCTCTTTTTGGCTAAATGGGGATCCAGATGCAGAAGAGGGTGGCGAATTAGTTTTTGGAGGTGTTGATCCAGATCACTTCGAGGGAAAACATACTTATGTGCCCGTTACTAAAAAGGGTTACTGGCAGGTTAGCAAGTGCATAAAATACTTTGATAAGGAAATTATTTTAGATAGTTAAGTCTAGTGCCAGTAAGTAACAAGAATGTTTTTCTTTCTTTCAGTTTGAAATGGGTGATTTTCTCATTGGAGGTCTGTCAACAGGTGATTTCATTATTCCTTAGCTGTCAAAAATTTCTTGGGGGAATTTACTGTGAAATCTGCCCGGGGGGGGGGGGGACTCCATGATCTTACTATATCCTTATGAATTACAACTATCTTTTCACCAATCTAATTGTTAAATATATTGATATTATTCTTAGGTGTTTGTAAGGACGGCTGTGCTGCTGTAGTTGATTCCGGAACATCCTTGCTTGCTGGTCCCACTGTATGTGCTTCCATCCTTTTGAAAATTTAACATTTGTAGCTTTGATCTATAACTACTGCTAACTGCCTAATAATTTCAGTCTGTTGTGACTGAGATCAACCATGCCATTGGAGCTGAAGGAATTGTGAGTTCAGAATGCAAGGAAGTTGTATCTCAATATGGAGACTTGATATGGGAACTCTTAGTATCAGGAGTAGGTTCTCCGACCTTCCATTTCATAGTTTGTGTTTGGGCTTTCCATATTGTATTCTTGGACCTAAATATAAAGGACCATAATTTGCAGGTACGGCCTGATGAAGTATGCACGCAACTTGGTCTGTGTTCTGCATATGTGGAACAATCTAAGAGGTCAGTTCACTGTGTTTCACAAGTCATAATTGTTTATTCTCAGCTGCTAACACTGTCAACGAGTTTGGCTTAAATGGACTGCTGAAGTGATTTTTGATCCTAATGGCATGCAGTACTGGGATTGAGATGGTTACTGAAAAGGAACAGAGAGAAGGGTTATCAGCTAGAGAAGATGCTTTGTGTACATTTTGCGAGATGGCCGTGATTTGGATCCAGAATCAGTTAAAACGAAGAGTAACCAAGGAAAAAGTACTTAACTACATAAATCAGGTGGTCCTTTTGAACTAACCTTTCCAGAAATCAAACTTGCAGCATAATTTTTTATGGTGTGTTGATTATATCGGTTTTGGTAATTTCAGTTGTGTGAGAGACTGCCAAGTCCAGCCGGCGAGTCCACAATAAGCTGTGATAGTGTATCTCAACTGCCAAACATTACGCTTACAATTGGAGAAAAACTTTTCGACCTCACCCCACAGCAGGTTTGCTTTTGATATTCTAAAACTGAATCACTACTATGATATGATCCATACGTATATATGTTAGCTTGTTCAATTCTGAGGACACACTGGCTGTATCAAATTTCAGTATATTCTGAAAACGGGAGAAGGCCTGGCAGAAGTTTGCATTAGTGGGTTTATGGCATTTGATTTTCCTCCTCCACGGGGTCCCCTCTGGTATATTACCTTCTGATTATGTTCGTCAGTTTAGAATTACTTGTGTAATATTCAGAATTTTAAATATTTGGGCTCTTTCCCTTGAACAAAAAATAAACCACATGTGGATGCAGGATTGTGGGCGACATTTTCATGAGGGCATACCATACAGTGTTTGACTATGGCAATCTCCAACTAGGTTTTGCTAAAGCTGCCTGATACGAGTTGTGGAAGATTATGTTGGGAAAATCTTAAGAAGCTTGTGATTGTATTGTAAATAAACATGTGTGGCTATGTAGCATACCATGGCTTGGGTTTCCGTATGAAGGACATAGTCAGGATGAAGCATTGTAACTTGAAGATATCCTCATCGTAGAAGCAGTACTTGATATTGAATGGCCCTGTATTCATCAAAAGCACGTAGCAGTACTTGATATTACTGAGGCTTATGATGATTGTAACTTATGAAGAGTGTGTGAATAAACATACCCAGTCTGTTAATATGGCACGGGTGAACTAGAAAGGTTTGTTCCTCCTTAACCTGACGGGTTAAAGTTAAACCGACTTGGACTTGGTTTGCTTCTAAGACGGTAGGTCTGACGCCCTTTTGTAATAACAATAACAATAATAATTAAATAGTTCAGATCAAGGGAAGACTTGAGAACTTATGTATTATGCAAAATTTAGTGAGTATAAGAGTAGCATGGTTCATGGTGAATTTTAAACTTGTTTTTTTTATTAATATTGATATTCATGTTTCTATGATATTTTGGAGGATACCCTTGGGATCAAGTGCCCGATGCTAAAAGTAGTTATAAAAAAGCGGTCAGCGCAAAAAGCAAAAGGCGACAAAAAGCTAATTGGAAGAGTGAAATTCTTTTTCTTTTCGCTTCGAGCTAACGTGAAATTCAAGCAAGGCTGGCTCAAGCCCAACCAGCAATTTTAGATTTATTACGTTCTAAAGTTAATTAATCATGGACGTTAAAAATAGGTTTCTCATTCAACTTGATTCAAATATAATACTACTTTCAGTCTTTAATATAAAATTTTATTTAATTTTAATTTTAATTTTAAATATAAGATCGTAATTTATTTTGTCTTTTATATTTATCTATTTTTTTAAAGTAATCATTATAATAATTTTAACTAATATATTTAATTAGTAAGAATATTTTAAGAAAGACAACACCTATTTATTACAAATAATTAACTTAATTAGTTTTTTAATCTACTCAAATTAATCAATAAACTCTTATATCAAGAATCTATTCATTTTTAGAGGATAATGACAGAATATTTATAATATTATTTTATATAACATTTATTAAAAAAAATTACCTTTTTTTCCTTCTTATATTTATATTTATATTTATTTAGAATCTCACATAATTCGCTCAAAAATCCACGTCAAACAACCTCGATGACATCATTTACTTGCACCAGTTAGACAAAAGCTGCGTCCCTCCAGTTTGGCGTGTCGATATTTTATAAGTACTGAATCGGACAAATTATGTTTCTTCCTTTTTCCCCTTCCTTTGTAGATGTGGGGCCCTTTAATCGGCCTTCCTGCTTTTGTCAATAGGCACTGTAGTGTTCGTCCCGTAAGCTCCTCAGAGTCTCAACGTTCCTGCTTCTTTTTTTTTTGGACTCACACGTTCCTGCTTCAGCAGCAGCATCTGCAGTGTCTTCTACCTAAGAAAGGTTCTTTTTTGTTCCTAAATCTTTATCATCTTAATCATCTTATTATGACCATCACCCTTTATAATCTTCTCTTCCCTGCCTGAATTTCTGTTGACTTTGTATTTCTTGAAAATTTGGTTTGTTTCCCGTCCCTGTATAAACTTCTTCTTCTTCTTCTTCTAATCAACAAGGCAAGTTAAAACTTGAACAGATAACAACTAAGCATTAACACTAGAGCTTGCAGTTCCCTCCAATTTGTCCCGCTGTAATTGGATTCGTCTTTTCCTTCTTCTGGATGTAGCTATTTCGATGTTATGTATCTGGGATTCTAGTGTTTCTTATGCATATTAGAATCTGGTAATAGTGTTTGTTGCTTTCGAATTTATGATAAGAGTAGAATGAACTGCGTCACAGAAAGAAAAGAAAAAATAAAGTAGAATGGACTGACACTGTTTACAAAAACAGTTAATACGCTCCTAGTAATTTGAGGAAATTAGTATCCAGAGCTGCTGACTAAGAATTCCTCTAATTTATCTCTAACTAGTTCCTGCTAATTTCCATGTTAGTATAGCTTGGATCCTGTAGAATTCTTGATCACTATAAGGAATGACATGTTAGTGTATTCATTGCCTAAAACGGAATATCTGAATGGCGGCAGAGAATATTTCTTCCTCTCTTTGCACATCTATCCATCTCCCTGTTTGTGTTTTTGTTTTTTTGAGTGCGGGAAACAGTGTTTAGAGACTTTATTACTACACAGTTACCCCTTTCCCATGGTTGCTTGTCTTTTGATTTTGCTCATCGAAATTTCTGATTCTCCTTTATGGCAGGGGTTCCCTTCATTATGAGGTCCAAGCATCTGTGGACAGCTTTCTGTTTATGGGCTTTAACATGCTCACTTCTCCCTTCTTTTTCTTTTGGGATTCTAAGGATTGGTTTGAAGAAGAGACCTCTAGACCTTCAAAGAATTCGGGCTGCAAGAACTGCAAGGGAAGAACTGAGACTGGGAAGACCAGTGAAAGGTTCATATCAGTATATCAGTAATTCACATGATGAAGACATACTACCTCTTAAAAATTATATGGATGCGCAATATTTTGGAGAGATTGGAATAGGCACACCCCCACAAACCTTCACTGTCATATTTGATACTGGTAGTTCCAACCTGTGGGTTCCATCATCATGGTGCTATTTTTCAGTAAGTTTGTATCTCGCTCAATATCCATAACTACATCCATATGAGTCTCTTGTTAACCAATAATTTTCATGTGCAGATCGCCTGTTATGTCCATTCTTGGTACAAGGCTAGCAAATCCAGTACATACACAGAGAATGGTAACGTTACTGGATTCATGCCACTTTCTCATGATTGATTTTACTGATTATGCTAGATATAATTATGGAAGCAGTAAGTTGGCATTGTACATGGCATCTAATAAAAAGGTCGAAACCTTACATCATTCGTGTTAACTTGTCAATCAGGAACATCATGTGAAATACAATATGGGTCTGGATCATTATCTGGTTTTTTCAGTCAAGATGATGTTAAAGTTGGTGATGCGGGCGTAAAGCATCAAGTGAGTACTTTATTTATAAGTTTCCGCTTGAAAAAAAAAAAAACTATATAGTTTTTTCTGTCCACAATCTGCAGTAGTACTTGGACTTGGGGTTTCATCAAGGCTCTCATGTTAACCTGTTAACATGTTGGATGTAGGATTTCATTGAGGCTACTCGAGAGAAAAGTCTTTCCTTTGCATTTGCAAAGTTTGATGGGATTCTTGGACTTGGGTTTCACGAAATCTCAGTTGAGAAAGCAGTGCCGGTTTGGTATAGTTTTTTGGGTTTTTCCTTTGCATCTGATTTTCTTGGCATTGTTAAAGCATGATTTTTCACTAGCGCCTTTGGGTTGTGTCCTGAAATTACTGATCCACTATCAAATCATAGGTACAATATGATGGATCAAGATCTTGTTAGTGAGAAGGTATTCTCTTTTTGGCTCAATGTGGATCCGGAGGCAGAAGAAGGTGGTGAGATTGTATTTGGAGGTGTTGATCCAAATCACTTCAAAGGAAAACATACTTATGTTCCAATTACTAGAAAAGGTTACTGGCAGGTAAGAAAATGCAAAGCTAGAGTTAGTTTGACCAGGAATTCGGGAAAACTCCAGAAAATTTGAACACCAATTTGTTGCCTTTTCAGATTGAAATAGGAGATTTTCTCATTGGAGGTCTTTCAACAGGTATAGGCATTGTTTTATTTTTCTACCCCAAGAAATTTTTTATTGGCCACAGAGAAATCTTGAAGGGATGAAATCATATGGTGCATAGGAAAGTATGAGATTTTTTTCCCCCTCCTAGACTAACTGAAGCAGAAAATTTGTGAAATCTGATTTGCTGGAAAACTCGTATTCCTTTATAACAATTTTTGTTTGTCACCTGCTTAATTACAATAACCATATATTATAATTCTTAAGGTGTGTGCGAAGGTGGATGTGCTGCTATTGTGGATTCAGGAACATCTTTGCTTGCTGGTCCAACGGTACGTGCTTTTGTTGTCCAAAAAATTTCCGCTTATAGGTTTTTTTCATCATTTTCGTTAACCGCTTATCAATTTCAGTCAGTTGTGGCTGAAATCAACCATGCCATTGGAGCTGAAGGAGTTGTGAGTTCTGAATGTAAGGCAGTAGTTTCTGAATATGGAGACAGGATATGGGATCTATTAGTATCAGGGGTAGGCCCTTCTTCCCTTCATATGGAGTTTGTGTTTGTGCGTTCTTCTAGCTGTGACATTCTGTTTCATGACTTCTCGGACCTAAATGCAGTTGATCTTAATTTACAGGTGGATCCTAGTGAAGTATGTTCACAACTTGGTTTATGCTCTGCATATAGGGACCAATCTGAGAGGTCAGGATTTTCTTATTAGCTTTATGTTTCACCGTCTTACTTTTTGCTTGCCTTGCTTCTTGTTTAAAATGTCAGAGTTATCCATTCCCCGTATAAGCGCATATAGAGGGAAAAGTAGTTTTCTGCAGAAGTATTTGTCAGGGAACCTCCATTATCAAACCAATAGAAACTGAGAGACTAGCTTCAGTAGCTTACTAAATCGTCTCTTAAAACAGACTTCTAAATTTACTCATTTTCCTAATACTATGCACTGCAGCAGTGGGATCAAAATGGTGACTGAAACAATGGAAAGAGGGGGTATGTCAGCTAGAGATGATAATATGTGCTCCCTGTGTCAGATGGCTGTCGTTTGGATTCAGAATCAACTAAAACGGAAGGTGACCAAGGAAAAAGTAATCCACTACATAAACCAGGTGAGCTTTTTAAACCAACCTTTCTAGAAGGCCAAATTGCATTATGGCTTTGGGCGGTCTAGTGACTGACTACTTTCTTTGGTCATTGACAGTTATGTGAAAGACTGCCAAGCCCCGGTGGGGAGTCCACTATAAGTTGTGATGGTATTTCTCAGATGCCAAACATCACAATTACTATCGGAGATAAACTTTTCAACCTCACACCAGAGCAGGTTTGTTTTGAACTTTGATAAATATATCTCTGTGTCAATATCTTTCTCAGATACCTTAGTGAGAATGCTTCGCTGTTTTCACAGTATATTCTGAAAACTGGAGAAGGAGATGCAGCAGTTTGCCTCAGTGGGTTTACAGCTTTTGATATTCCGCCTCCTCAGGGCCCTCTCTGGTACATTATGGCTATTGCATTCATAGTTCTAGTAATATTGTGTCATGGACATACAGTAATCAACAACCTTGCATGTATCGAACCCCACACACACACACAGACACTCGTTCCTTTCAGCTTTATGGTTAACCCACATGTTCCTTTCAGCCTTATGCTTGTTTTCTAAAGCAGCCGTACATGGATGCAGGATCCTTGGCGATGTTTTTATGAGGGTATATCACACGGTGTTCGACTATGGCAATCTCCAAGTGGGTTTTGCTGAAGCTGCCTAGAGGGGCTTATAAGGAGAATCATGTGCAGTCTACACAAACTTCCATGTGTTTTAATAAAAAGTTAATGGTATTACTGGTTTAGGGTCGGGAGAAGAAGCTGATATAATACTTTCTTGTGCATATGTCTATGTTACAGCATTCGGTCCGTAGGGTATGGTGGTGGGACGCATGCACGAACCATTAAAAATGTGATAAGTGTCAGTCAAAAAAATCAAAAGGCTGTTGTGAGTGCCACTGTTTAACATATCCTCCCGTTTAAGGCTGTTTGAAATGGGATGTATTAATCGACATTGATTGGTAGTAATGATAATCAAGGGGGTGTTTGGTAACCCTTAATAGAATTTAAAAAAAGTGCTTTTATTTAGGCTGATACAAAATTTCTCTCACTTATTTACATTGTAAGTTGTAAAATTATTTTTAAAAAGTTAATATTATAAAGGATCAATGAACTTATTTGAACCTTGATCTTTTATATTCACTAATCATAATAATGTTAAATAAAATTAATTTCTAAATCATATTTTATGTGATAAATGTAGAAATCTTAATTATTTTTAATATTAAAGATGTTTAATTTTTAAGAATGTATTATTAAATTCTAATAATATCTTATTTTTAAATTTTGGATCATTATACGTCGTTCGCGTCCGGAAATCCATGCATGTCCTTCATTTCTGATATAATGCAAACTTTGACCGGAAGGACCCTTGTATGTATCAAAAGGCACGTACCATTGATAAATAATACTGAGGTTTGTGATGTTTGTTATTCAGGAAGAGCTTATAAACAAACGGTATTACTGGGTTTAAAATTCATCTCTTCGTATTTGCTAAAGCATATGAGCAATAAGATTTGCCATAATTCTCTTCACTGATATTGATTTTTCTCTTAACATTTTATGAGCAATCCTATGGATGAATTGGTCATTACTAAAATATTCTTGTTAATCATGTATCTTAACTAGAATTACTATTTGATAAAACATTTAATATGTGCAACTACTCTTCCGATTCTAAATATAAGAGTATAAAGGTTTTATATTTAGGACCAGATGAGTATTATAAGGACTATCTTAAAAAAAAGTAGATAAATATGAGAGACAAAGTGAATTAAGATATTATATTTAAGACCAAATTAAATATCAAAATTAATTCTTATATATTAAGGGCCAGAGGTAATAATTTGGAGGGCCAACTTGAGATTCAAAGAAAGATTGCGTGAGAGTTTTAAAGACTAGACTCGGTTGAATTTAAAAACGGTCAAGACACTGCGGTAAAAATTAATGGTTAGATTTGGTCTTAGTTGATAATTTTCTATATATTCCCCATCGATTTGGCCGTCGGTGTTTTTTTTTTTTTTCCTTTTAAATATAATATCCTTTTCCTGTGTGATGACATAATCTATGTAACACTATAATACTATACTACTAGAATTTATAAGAAAACATTGACGTTGTAATTTTTTTATGTTTATAATAATAATCTGAAATAACTTGTTCAAAAATCCATGTCAAACAACACCATCAATGACATCATTTACATGGCGAAGTTAGAATAAGCCGTGTGCCTCGAGATATTTTGTAAGTCCTCACAGTATACTATACTAAATTTGACCAATCATGTTTCTTCCTTTCTTTTACTTTATAAACTCGCTGCTTTTGTGGCTACATATTGTAATGTCTAGGAAATAACAGTTAAGTCCTAAAATATCAATTCAATGGTAGCCAGTTTTTTTTTTTTTGGAAAAAAATTGTTGCAAATATTCATTACAGTTGTAACCATATAAATTTTAGTTACAAAACACAGAAAATGGTTGCATTCTCGTATTTATATTTGTTTGATTTCTAACTAACATTCTTATATTTGTAATTGTCTAAATGTATATATGTAATTTATTTTTGATAAAAAATTTTAAGGTCTAACTACTATCAAAATAATCTTTTAGGAGCATACATCATTCTTTCATAGTATTTGTTTGAATGAGCTCCTCTGCATCAACCATCTCAGCAGCCAAGCAGCATCCACAGTAACATCTGCCTAAGAAAGGTTCTTTTCTTTTTATTTTCCTAAATCTTTATCATCTTTGTCATATGATTATGATCATCATAATGACTTCAACCAAGTTTATATTTTCTCCTTTAATCTTACCTGCCTAATTTTCTGTTGATCTTGTTTGTCTTGAAAATTTGGTTTGTTTCACGTTCCCGTATAAACTAGTTCCATGTTAGTTTTGATTACAGCAGGAGTGTAGTGTGAGGAGAGTTCTAGATAAACTACAAGAAATGACTTCGGATCAATCCTACACCCCCTAATTCATGGTTGCTTGTCTTTTGATTTTTGCTCATCGACCTTTCTGGTTCTCCTTTCTGGCAGGGTTCTCTTCATTATGAGGTCCAATCATCTGAAGATAGCTTTCCTTTTATGGGCTTTAACATGTTCATTTCTTCCTTCTTTCTCTTTTGGGATTCTAAGAATTGGTTTGAAGAAGAGACCTCTCGACCTTCAAGGCATTCGGGCTGCCAGAGCTGCCAGGGAAGAACTGAGACCAGGAAGATCAGTGAAGGTTTCACATCAATATATCAGTAATTCACATGATGAAGACATAGTACCCCTAAAAAATTATTTGGATACGCAATATTATGGAGAAATTGCAATAGGCACACCACCCCAGATCTTCACTGTCATATTTGATACTGGTAGTTCTAACCTGTGGGTTCCATCATCATGGTGCTATTTATCAGTGAGTTCATCTCCCCCTTGATATCCGTAACCATATCCATATGAGCCTTCCATTAACCAATAATTTTCATGTGCAGATCGCCTGTTATGTCCATTCGTGGTACACGGCTAGCAAATCCACTACATATACTGGGAATGGTAACGTTAATGTATTCGTGCCAGATTCTCATAATTGGTGTTACTGATTATGCCAGATGTAATCATGGAAGTATTCATGTTAACTTATCAATCAGGAACATCTTGTGAAATCCAATATGGGTCTGGATCAGTATCTGGTTTTTTCAGTCAAGACAGCGTTAAAGTGGGTGACGTGACAGTAAAGCATCAAGTGAGCATTTTGTTTATGAGTTTCCACTTGGAAAAAGACTACTTTTTTTTTTTGGCCACAATCTTCTGCAATACTTCGACTTGGGTTTCACCAAGGCTCTTATGTTGGCCTGTTTAATGCAGGATTTCATCGAGGTTACTCAAGAGAAAACTCTTTACTTCGCATTCCTTGAGTTTGATGGGATACTTGGTCTTGGGTTTCAGGAAATCTCAGTTGAGAAAGCAGTGCCAGTTTGGTATACTTCAACTTGTCTTTTGGTTTTTCGTTTGCATCTGATTTTCTCGGTATTGCTAAAGCATTAATTTTCTTAGTAGTAGCTTTGGGTTCTTTTGTCCTGTAACTTCTGATCCAATGTCAAATCACAGGTACAATATGGTGGAGCAAGATCTTATTAGTGAGAAGGTGTTCTCTTTTTGGCTCAATGCGGATCCGGATGAAGAAGCGGGTGGTGAAATTGTATTTGGAGGCATTGATCCAAATCACTTCAAAGGAAAACATACTTATGTTCCAGTTACTAGAAAAGGTTACTGGCTGGTAAGCAAATGCAAAACTAGAGTAGTTTGACCACGAATTCCGTTTAAATGATAAATTTGAACACGAATTTGTTGCCATTTCAGATTGAAATAGGAGATTTTCTCATCGGAGGTCTTTCTACTGGTAAAGGGAATATTTTAGTTTTCAACTATAAGAATCTTTTGTGTGGGGGATTTTACAGAGACATCTTAAAGGGCTGAAATCATATGGTTGTATATTATAATTCTTAAGGTGTGTGCGAGGGTGGATGTGCTGCTATTGTGGATTCAGGGTCATCTTTGCTTGTTGGTCCAACCGTATGTGCCTGCTTCTATCTCCCTGAAAGTTTTCTGCTTACAGCTTTTCTTTTAAAATTTTTGTTGACGGCTTATCAATATCAGTCAGTTGTGGCCGAAATCAACCACGCCATTGGAGCTGAAGGATTTTTCAGTTCAGAATGTAAGGAATTAACTTATCGATTTGCAGACAAGATATGGGATCTACTAGTGTCAGGGGTAGGCCCATCCACCTTTCATGTCAACTTTAGTCTGCGCGTTCTTCTAGCTGTGACATTCGGTTTCATCCTCTGCTTCTCGGACCTAAATGCAGTTACTCTTAACCTGACAGGTGGAGCCTCATGAAGTATGTTCGCATCTTGGTTTATGCTCTGCATATAAGGATCAATCTAAGAGGTTAGGAAGTTAATGTTTTTCTTATGAGCTAATATATTACGCGGTCTTTACTTTTTGCTTTCCAAGCTACTTGTGTGAACTTCAAAGCGATCCAGTATTAGAAAGAGAGACGTAATTTTCTGCAGAAGACATTGTCGTGGAATCTCCATTGCCAAATCAATAGAAATAGAGACCCTGGCTTAGTTGCTTACTCTGCAATCAAATTGTCTCTTAAACGGATTTGTCAATTTACTAATGTTCCTAATACTGTGCACTGTAGCAGTGGGATTGAGATGGTGACTGGAAGAATAGAAAGAGAGGGTGTGTCAGCTAGAGACAATAATACGTGCTCTTTCTGTGAGATGGCTGTAGTTTGGATCCAGAATCAACTGAAAAGGAAAGCAACCAAGGAAAAAGTAATCCGCTACATAAATCAGGTTATCTTTTAAAATCAACATTCTAGAAGCACAAGCTGCGTTATAGCTTTTGACGGTGCAGTGACTGAGTACTGCCTTTGGTGATTGACAGTTATGTGAAAGACTGCCAAGTCCTGCTGGAGAATCCATAGTAAGTTGTGACAGTATTTCTCAGATGCCAAACATCACAATTACCATCGGAGACAGACTTTTCAACCTCACTCCAGAGCAGGTTTGTTTTGAACTTTGATAAATTTATGTTTGTGTCAGTATCTTTCTCAGATTCCCTAGTGAGAATGCGTTGCTATTTTGACAGTATATTCTGAAAGCTGGACAAGGCCAAGCAGCAATTTGCATCAGTGGGTTTGCAGCTTTAGATATCCGCACTTCTCAGGGCCCTCTCTGGTATGTTACCTTCATATTTATATTATGGCTATTGCACTTAAAAGTTCTAAACTTTTAATATGCTTATGACAACACACACACACACAAAATACGGAACAACCCTGCATGTAATGAACTATTTGCTCTTTTTTCTGAAACAACCGAGTGTGCGTATGTGAATGCAGGGTCCTTGGCGATGTTTTTATGAGGGCATATCATACGGTGTTTGACTATGGGAATCTCCAAGTGGGTTTTGCTGAGGCTGCCTAAAGGGATTTTTGGAGAATCTTATGCAGCCAAGAGCCGCAGACAGAACTGGAAACTCCCTCGAGTTTGAATTAAATAAAATAATGTTATTACTGATTAGTAGTAGAAATGTCAGAATCTTGTATATCTATTACAACATTTGAATTGTGACAAGAATCAGTCCACAAATAAAGAGCCGACATAAATCTCACTATCTACCATACACTCCCTGACGTTTAATGCGTTTAACAAGTTCAGCACTTTATCCGTGAAGGGTGATATTAATCGATATAAATTGATGGTGATCTGTTTTTCTTCAGGTACATGAATATTGCATCATATTAATGGGACAATGTCAAGAAAAATCGATGAATCAATATAAATTAAATGAAACTATTCACTTTTTAAGGTTTATAAAAAAAAAAAGGCAAAAATATAATTTTACTTATTTAACTATGATTTCGGTTTGATTTCTCAATTTTAAAAAATATATTTCTAATTTTTTAAACCTTGAAAAATTTAAAAAAAGATAAAACTGAAATTGTAAATATTAATAAAATATTTTTAAATACTATCATATTAAGTATAATTTTCAAAAGTCAAAACAACCGTAATTATTTAAAAATTATTATTTAAACCTAATAATTTTAGAATTAAATGACCAAAAATATACCATTTGAAGTTAAAAGGATACACATTCTTCTAATCTTTAAATGTATAAAAAATATACAACAACTTCGATATTTTTTCCTCTACTGCTTTGACCAAAAAGTAGAAAAATACCCTAAAGGTAAGTAGAGGGGAATCGAAATTCTGACAGCGCGGTGTTTCCGTACTGCGGAATATAAATTGAGATCAGAAAGGGGGCTAACAACATGACGGCCAAAGTTGCCCTAATCGGAAGCAGAAATAATTGTCCCCATCAGATTATGTAATCCCAAGTTCACATCGTCTCCAAACCAAACTTCGAATCCCAAGATAAAAATTACACAGGCTGATAACGGTTCAAACTCGATTGGGAGTCACATAAACACACACCAACTCGCGACTAATGATACAATGCTGAATAACAGATGCACGAAAATCTTCCATTATTCTTCTTCAGCGTCGGCACTGAATATAGAAGACATGGCAACTTTTTGCTTCTTTGCAGCACCACCGAATGTGTTCTGCAACAAATGAGGAAGAAAATATTAACGTGAGCAAAGCTATATAAGGCAAAAATCACGGACTAGATAACAACGCAATGATGGCATCAAATGAAAGACGTCAGGACCGAAGTCAGTTTCATGAATTTCTACGACAGGACAGAAATCAACCATGAAAGAAACCATGCCATAGAAATCATCCAGATCCAGATACAAAATTACAGTACATGTGATATAATATTATAATAAATAAATGAAGTTAGTCATGGTTAGTTGGGTTAATTAGTAAAGATGACCATAAGGGACGCTGGCCTATAAATAACTGGTGATGGGTGTGGAAAATCAGCTCACTTGAATACCTAATTGAGCATCATATACTACTCAATGTAAGACTTAATAATTCATACTGTCTCCATGATTTGGCCCCTTTCATCCCACTAGATGCCCTCCATGGTACTCCACTGAGGCTCTGTAGAATAGCCAACAACCTGACTCTAATAATACCAATTGAGTACCTAAGTAATATGAGAACCCTGGCCTAAAAGCTAGCTGTTAAAACGGGAAAACCACCCTGCCTAAATACCCCTATTGGGTACTTCACACCACTCCATATGAGACTTAATTAGTATCCCTTCTGTCTCTCTATCTCTGTTTCTGTTCTCCTTCTCTACCATTCTCTCTCTAAGTCTCTTCCTTTCTCTCTCTTTCCCTCTCCCTCTCGTCAAGATTACAAGCACATATTAATATATTTGTCCAATTCTAGCATACCTTAGAAGCACCTCCCTTGGATGAAAACCCAAACTTCAAAGTCCTCCGCTGATCCTGATCTGCAAGTGCAGTAGCAGTTCTAGATTCAGAGGAACCGGAGCAGATCCAGATTCTTCCTGTTGTTGTTGTAGCTGTTGCTGCTTACGAGCATCAGCCCTGGTTGACATTAAAGAATCCCAATAAACAAGATGACATCAAAACAAGGCGGCCAACTACCCACAACAGCCAAAACGCAATAAGGCAAATATATTTTTCAATGTAACACCCAAAAAGATTAGAGGTGCATAAGCAGAAGGATACATTTGGGCAAATTTAGCCATTTCCCTCTCTTGACGCTGCTGTTCTCTTTTTTGCCTATCATCTCGGCTGCTACCACCATGCATGTCCTTCATTTCTTTGAAACGCTGTAATCCCCATTAAGGATGTTGCATTAGAATGATGAAGAATATCCTTGATGTAAAGTTAACAAAAGCTGAACCAAGTTAGTCAAATCATCTACCTTTCTGTGATTGTGATCGTATGAGCTCAAATGTGCTTCAAATTCCATGGCCAATTTGTATTGCTTGTTGCAGAGGTCACAAAAGAACACCTTTCGGATTTCTTTCACTTCAGTTTGAATTTTTTGCTCACGTTCCGCCAAAACCTGGATTTTCATAATGCGCACGACACAGGCAGAAGAAGCCACCAGGTAATAAAAACTGCAGGAAATTCTCAAGATCTTCCAAAGTTGATGGTTCCCTAAGACACACCAATCCCATCAAAAGACATGCATATGTGGTATATGCTGCCTTCTGCTATTAGGTGGAGGTTCCAGAAAACGGAAAACATCAACCTCAATACTACTTTATGATTTTAACACTAAAGGCAACTGCTAATAATTCCTCAATCATACCTCTCGCTTCCTCATAGTTTCCTCTGTATCCTCCAACTCTACATCAAGTTTCTTTCGCTGGATGTTTTCTTCAGCAGTGAAAAAATCATCTTCTTCTTGTTTACCCACACCCAATCTGGGATCTCTAATACCAGATTTTATTGGCTCAGTAATTCCTGCACATAAATTCAGAGGCATAAAATGAACTCGGTTAAAGAAATTGAAATCAGGGAGAACATTTAAACTATATCACTTTCATACTTCAGTAAAAATCTTCCACATTTAAGAACACAGAAAATTGTAGTGCAGGAAAGAAAGGAAGAATTATTGCGGAGAAGGTTCAATTAAAGCATAACCAAAAACAAAGGTTCAATTAAAGCATAACCAAAAACAAAGGTTCAATCCTAAAAAGATCAAGCCCAGAGACAGGCAATTTGATATTTAGGGCTTCAAGAGAGGCAGCAGCCTATACTTTATAAACATGTAGAATGGGGTAAACTCTAGTTTTTCTTGCATAAGTCCTGATGGCCCATGCCTTGCCACGCTAGAACTTCACTGGTTTTCCAGTTCCACACAGTGAGAGTGCTAAAATTACATAATACAAACAATTTCAGCCACATCGAAACAACTTCATTAGGTTCTTTTTACATTTTAATGATGTAAACGGCTATATGCCACATATTAAAAGGTCGAGCGGGTTTATTTAAAAAGCTGAAAGAACCGGAGGATCCACCCCCCCCCCCCCAAAACAAAAACAAAAAAAGGTCAGATTTAAAAGGGGTTACAAGCAACCAACAACGTTAACAAATACTAAGTGGAAGCTCAAGATGATTCCATCTGTCCAGATAGAAGTTTGAGTTACACTAACAATAAGATTGCCTACGTTCTAATACAACTACAAACCTTGCTCATTCTTCCCCAGACCCTTTCCTTTCCACCCCATCTTTTGAAGTAGCTTAAATCCAATATTAGACGATGTTAACTGTGTGTCCAGAGAAGCTTGTTCGACATTGTCTAGATCAACATTTTCTGTTGGCCTGTGATTGATAGGCAATCGAAAATCCTCTGCCCAATCTTCAATAAAGGATTCCTGGGATGCCTACCAAATATAACTCAGCATGCACGATCAATTGTTAGAAGAAGCAATACTAATTATTTCTTTAATGGCTTTAACTAGTAAATAAGAGGAAAGGCACATAAGTCATGCACCATAGTCTTATCAATTACCTTCCCCTTTCTGATTTGCCTCCTATCAAGAGTACCAGTATCCTGCCAACCATTGGTCCTTGGATAATCCATTTGAACCTATACAGATCATAAGAAGCAAACACGTGACCAAAAGCCTTAGAATAGCAGAGCTTAGACAGATGAACGCCTCAACCATACAGAGCAAGTAGAAATACGGCAGGAAAAGCAATCGCTTCACACAAAGGGATAACTTTATAGTCGACAAATACATGTTAAGGGGTGGGTTCAATTTATACACTTCCCGCGCTACCTAAATAAAACCATGACAAAAATTGATAATACGGGATTTAATACTGCGGGCTTTTTCGTTTCTACTTTTCTGGTTAAATACAGTAGACTGTGTTAGAGCCAGCACGCCAAGCAGCTAAAGCGATCTAAAAACCCATAATCCTCCATGGTGCAAGAGGCTCTTGAAACATCTGAAAACTTCAATGACGAGATATGCACCAATCAACTTAGGTCGAAAGGAGAAAACTTTCAATTCTCCGAAGATAAACCAGGAAATTGAGAGGCAGCAACGCACTAGATGTGATTCCAAAAACCCTACCTAGCTTTGACGACCCTACTGTTAGCAACGCCAAGAGTGAAATAGAATTGGATATTATAAGAGAATGAACTGGTAAGAGTTCTGGCAAAACAACGCTGTCCGGACGTCGCAGCCCCGCCTACTCTTCGGGCAGGTATATGGAAGCTATGGTTTCTTTGGTTTCGGAGAAAGGGGTTCGGGTCCAACGGAGTCGGTGATCGGCGGATGGGGACGGATCCTGATTTCCTTTTAACGACTGGAATGAAACTTGAGATGCACTTGACTTTACCAAAAAAACATTAAAAAAAAAATGGTATGTAATAATTCCTGGGCAGTCCAAAATTTAGATAGGAAGGGCCCATTGCAACAGGGCTGGCCCATTCCCCGAGAAGACGCCCCAAGTTCCTTTTTTTCTCAGGAATTTTTTATTCCCCGTCATCTAGTCTATTAGATTAGCTATGGGCCAGTACCCAAAAACAAAAGGATCAGTCATGGGCCTGTGGCCTGAGCGGATCATTTTAGATGTCTTCGATTCTTAAAATTCAAGCGCCTTAAAGAGGCGGAATACAACTTCAGAGATAACGGCTAAAGAGGTTGTAAGTGAAAAAATTGTTAAATGTATGAATCGCAATACAATGATAACAGTCGTGGCCCAAAAAAAAAAAATACATAAAATGATTATAACCTGAGAATTGGAGAAGATTATCACGTATTAACCTCTACAGTCCAATTTGTATGGTTGAAAGGGCGGGATATGCTTGTGTGGGTAAAGATATACTCCTCTGTTCCTTAATATATTACTTGTTTAATTAGTTTGATTACATTAAGTAAATTAAATAAATTAGTTAATTATTAAAAATATATCTATGACCAATATTAACTTAACAATCAGGACCTATGTTAAATTTCGGAGGAGTATTAATTAATGTACAAATCATCGATTAGCCTGTAATTTTGTTTTGCCAGAAACTCTAGAGTGTAATTAACTAATCTGCAAAAATTAAAACTATTAGGATTGATTATTTATTATTACTGCGTAAAAAGATGTGTCCTTTTTTCCCCAAAGTACCACTCTTTTAATCAGGGTATTAATGGTAGGAAATAAAGAGAGTGATGAAAACAGTAAAATTAAATTAACGAGGATAGAATGGGAAAAAAAAACTACATGATGGGCATGGAGAATATTGGGTCTTATAATTTATAATTTACTATGAAAATGAATTTCTGATTCTCAGCTAATTTTTATATAAAAAAAAACGTAAGGAAGCAATTCATTCGCACCGGCTAACAATGACAACAATGAAACTCAAATTATTTTTTTTAAGAAAATGGCCATTCACTGCTTAACAAGCCTTGTAAGTCTTAACATTGCATTGTTGAAACTTGTTAACTCAATTAAATAGATTATCCGCTTGAGCTTAGTTATAAATACGTCTTTCTTTTTGCGATTCGAATATTTTTGAAGTTTTCTTCTTTACTCCAGAGAATATTTTCAAAGGTTAGCTCCAAGATCCTTAAAATTTTGAAACACAAGATATAGAAGAAAAGGAAAGAGAATATATTACTGTCTTGTAAACCACCCTTAGATATAGAAGAAAGGGAAAGAGAATATAGTACCACCCTTAGATATAGAAGAAAAGGAAAGAGAATATAGTACTGTTTTGAAAACCACCTTTGTCCACACCTATCTATCCTCTCCAGTTTCTTTGCTGGCTGGTAAGTGGTAACTTATTTATTTTTCTTGTTTGCTTCCTAATACACGAATACATACGGGACAATTTCGTGTAGCCATTGATGCTATTTTAGGATACAAATACGTATTGAGCAATACTACCTCCATTCTTTATTATAAGAGCTTATTTGAATTTTAATTTGATTCTAAATATAAGACCCTAATCCATGTTATCTTTTATATTTATTCATTTTTTTCAAAGTATTCCTTAAAATAGCTGCACATATGAAAGGTTTCATGAAATGGTAACTCTAGGTAATATACATGATTAACAAGAGTGTTTTAGGAACGATAATACTTATTTATAAGAAACAACTAACTTAACTGATTTTCTTAATCTCCCCAAATTAGCCAACTAGGTATTATAATAAGGACCAGAGGTAGTATTCGATTTGAGGAATAAATACAAAACATAATGAATTATACAAACCTTTTTATTAACTTCGCCAATATTTTTTTAAGCTCGTTTAATTTTTTTGAAATAAAAGCTCTAAACAATTAGATTCTGGGGTTGTGTAATAATTGCTCTAACGGTACAACGGTGTCAATGATTCAAATTTTCATCCCACTGCACAGCTGTAGGAAATTCCCGCGCCTGTTTTCTTTTTCCCAAAACCGGGGAGGCAGAGAAAATTCGGAGCAGGAAAAATGACAAAGTTTCCATTAATCGTATGTGCTACTCGACGGTGGAAGGCTAAAGAGTCGAGAATATGGATGCAGATATATCAGAAAGACGTGACCATCTTGGAAAAGGAGGCGGACTCTACCTCAGTTGCGAGGCAAATTAAATTGCTTCCATAGGATCCTGCGAGCATTATTGGCTTCTACATAATTGAACATCATATCGAAACATGACAGCTACTTGTTTCTTTGTTTTATGCAGAATCATTGACCAACCGACGACCACTTTTTGCAGAACCATTTCGACATTGTTCTAGAAGACCAGACCTTGCAGCAAAAGCGTGGGGTTTAAGTAATCAGCATAAAAATGGGCAGTATGAACAAATGTATTCTTCTGTTGAACTAATGCAGCCTTTAAAAAGATTAAATTTCATTAAATATGCGATTACAGCAGGGAAATATTGTTGCAGGGGTCTTAAAATATCAGAGCTTAATGCAGAGAAGGAAGGAATAATGAAGATATATAGGGATCCGTGTATAAGAGAACAATAATAGAGTATTAACTAAGTTGGGTATGCCAAACTATGGCCCCTGATATATATAATTGTTTACACCTTACGGATTAACATTATTTAAATTAATTCCGAGACGTTTATTAGATTCCCGAAAGCTTGACCGCAACCACAGCAACAGCCTTGTCATATGTTAACTTGTAATTGATCCTTCGTGATCTTCTTCGTACGCGAACAACCAGAAAGTGGTGCTTCAAACCTTTTGTCTCGCAGCTGGTAGGTAGGAACCTGTCAGTGATCATCCGGACCTTCTACGGCTACCTTACAAGAAAAGAAGGAATATATATCAACTTTAGTTCTGCTTTGAATATCTCAAAAACTCCCAAAATTTTCCTTCTTTTGATATGCACGAACCAAATCAATAAAGTTACTTGTTCCCACGGAAAGATATATATGTGTGTATATATATATATATAATATGCACAGTGTGTGGATTTTTACGGTTTGATAATAACGCGATAAGTGTGAAATGCGTCTACATGTTAATATTACCATGTCATAGGGTAAGAACTGTAGCAAATTAACGTATGAGGAAATTCACCAAATTCTCATACATTAACTCTTTAAAATTCTAAACTTTGCAGAGTTAGGTGAATAATGGCAGAGTGAACATGCAAAAGGGGCGGTGCTTTGGTAAAAGAGGTAAGAATTCAAACAGTTGGCGAATGAGAGAGAAGGGAGAAGGAAGGAGAAGAATGATTGGCCCAGTTGGCGAAAGACAGCTAATCAGGCACGCAACGCAGATCTCCGTGTATAGTACAATAATACTTAATCAAAGCTATAAAGATCCTGTAAAATGTAGTTATAGAGAGGAAAAGAAGAAAGAAAAAGTAAAGCCTATTCCAACAGAACTCCAAGGGCTAATGAAAAACCAATGGAGTACAGCTAAAGTAGCTTGTTCTTGTCGTTGTCTAAAGGTATATGCGGTCTTGTCCACAGGAGCAGTTCAACATTGCTCGGTCCATGAATATTGGCCTGGTCTTACCAAATCACTTGAATCAGATTCTGCCATGGCCGCTCTCTCAAGGGCAGGGCCCATTCGTTCTGCTATAAATATTCAGCCTCGAGTTCTGCAAATTCCAGCCATCCAAGCCAAGACAGTTCCTAAGTGTCCGTTAATCAGTCACCCACCCAACAACCACACCACCGCCACCACCACCATCCAGGACAAGAAACATCATGGCAGGCAACAACGGGCAGAGGAACAAGTCATCATCCTCCTTCATGTCTATCTTCAACATTTTCAGGTCCAGCAGCAGCAACAGGAAAGACGAGTACTACTACAGCGACGATCGGTGGACGAAGGTGTGGCATAGCGACGAGGACAGAGGACAGTGGGGGCCAGCTGAGCCAGGCATTGACAAGAAAGCTGATGATTTCATCAAACGATACAAGCAGAGGGTCACTGAGTCTGAAGTTCATCAGATGCAAGCTCCAGTCGAGTAGCTTCTGCTATAGTTAGTATAGGATCCTTCTGTTAGGCCATTAATTATTCAGGACTATTGTTGTTCGTTCATGCTCCCTATTAATGTCATTTAAGTGTTGATTATATGACAATAAATCGACGCCAGCAGTGATATTGTAGAACTTGATCAGTGGCACTACGAATAAAACGTGTGTATAATGTATATGTGGGTGTTGATTTTGCACTCTCTTTCTTCTTTCTTTTTTATATGCTCAAAACGATGTCAGCAATAGAACTGCATAGTTTGTTTGTCATGTGCAAGTTGCTAGCTGTGCATGCATGTGTTCTTTTATTGGTAACGCATCAGTTCTGGTTTTTAATTAGTTCGGACATGGATACTTTTTCTGGTCTCTCATTGATTCATTTTTTATTCATTTCTTTGTGCAACATAGGTTCAGGTTGTTAGCAAATTATCCCGAAACAGTAACATTTAGTTTGTACTCAAACTTCATGTAAACTGTAATACATGCAGGACTTATATGTCTTAATTTTTAATAATACTATATCCGGTCCTTAATATAAAATTTTATTTGATTTTTATTTTGGTTCTAAATATAAGAGCTCAATCCACTTTGTCTCTTGTATTCGTGCATTTTTTAAGTAGTCCTTCTAACAATGATAGTTCTAGCCAATATACTTGACTAGTAAGGATATTTTAGAAAAGACAATACATATTTATTACAAATAACTAATTTAACTTACTTTCTTAATTTTCTCAAATTAATCAACTAGCTCTTATAATTAAGACCGGAACTAATAAGAAGGAACCTGGTGAACAATCAGTGCAACGTGGCATGACACGATAGCTCAAGAATCATGATCGAGATCGGCAATAAGCCCAG